AATGGTTATCAGCCTCACTAGGCTGGGCCCAGGAGATGGCAGTTGCAGGCCAGTAGCAGAGCAGGTCCTGAAAGCTGAGGCTGCACAAGTTCAGGCTGGAGGAAGGGTGCACATTTCAACTGGGACAGGTAACTGAATATCATAACATGTTACCTGGGGAGGGGGGTGACCCTCCTTGTCCTGACACCTCTACCATGTATCAAAACCCTGTGTCCTGCTGAAGGAGATGGTTTTGCTCATCCCAAAGTGATTTCTGGGTGAGGCTCTAGGGCCCATGTTGTGCAGCCCAGTTAACTGGCACCATACCTCCTGGCTCTACAGCTCGTGAAGCCAGGCTTGGACATCCACCTCCAGGCCCCCAATCCACTTTCCTGCCAGCCTGTCTCTTTGTGCCTCCTCCTGGCTCTCTCTGCCTCTCGTGTTCTCTGCCCCTTCCTTTTCCCATACACACAGACTCTTCTGCCCAGAACTGGTGGATGAGGTGGGGGGCAGAGGCGTTCTCATGTGATGCATGCACACAGCACTCAGCCAAAGGGCCCTGCCCACTCTGAGACTGAGTACTTGTGCCTGGCCACCCTCAACTTTCTGCTCTCTCCCCAGGAGACCCCAGCAGAGTCCCGAGAGAAGAACCGTCCCTGTGCGCTGCTGGGCTTTTTTGATGACCACGACATCTGGCACTTTCTCTCGGCTGCTGCCTTGTTCTTCTCTTTCTTGGTGAGCTTTGCTACACCCCGTGCTGCCCATCTCTGCTGTCCTGCCCTCACCCCCTCAGTTACTCCTCCTGCCGCTTATCTTTCCTTTCTCCTTTCCCTAGTTCCCTGCTCTCTTCACCTTGCTAGTATGAGCTGGTGGCCCCTGGTGCCCGCTCTCTGCCTCCACACCGACAGCCTGCTCATGGGCAGCCCCCACTCCACTCAGGGCTCCTCATCCCAAGTGCCCTGCTCTTAGGCCAGCACTCCTCAGCAAAGCCCTTGCACCCTTACATATTCTGCCTGGGCTTAGGTCTATCCGTACCACTGCTTTTCCTAGGGCCAGTGTCCCCACCCAGCCTGCAGCCCAGGCAGCCCTCCTGGGGAGTGAGAGCCCCTCTGACAGCCCTACCTGACCCTGTTGTGTCACGCCTCTCTGAGGGGCTCCAAGGTCACTGGTCCAGGTGGGACACTCCAGGACACCCGATGAGGCCTCCAGTGTTGAGCCATCCCTGCTTCTGGGCTTTCCTAATTCACGTGGTTTCACCTTCTACTCTCAGCCCCTTGGATGGAGCCTAGGTCCCAGTTTGACCTGCCAGTTCAAGGCCTAAGTCTGGGCTGAGCCCTGGGTTTTGTAACATACACAGTCATTGGGTGGGAGGCAACGGGGAGGTGAGTAGAGCCCTCCTTCTCTGCTGCTTTCTCTTTC